GAGAAAAAATGCATCTCTATGCTTGTATGTCAAGTGTGCATGCCAAATACGATGCAAATCAATGATAAAAATCATATGCATACTCTCAGAGAATCAATTCACTCAGTCATCCCCGTCACTCAGTCCTCCCAATCACTCGGCACTCGCACTCAGTAAGTACATGCGCTCACTAGGGGTGTGTACAAACTCCGGAGGGGATCCTACAGCCCAAGCGTTATAACAAGCCAATCATGGCATAAATCAATAAAATATGATGCGGCGTACAACCCGATCCCATCATTCATAAATAAATAAATAAATAAATATATATATATATATATAGCCAATATGGCCTGATCCCATAAACATCCTCACCATCAGACCCTCGGCCTCAATCAGTCATCAATCTCTCCAGTCTCTCGGGCTCTCAATGTCATGATACTAGCCCGAAAATAATGATATGATGCATCAATAAATAACAACAGAGACTGAGATATGATATGCATGTGAATGCGTATGACTGAGTATATAATGCAATGAAAGCAGATTACTCAACAACAGAAATGACCTCAGTGGATCCCAACAGGATAAGCAGGTAGCCTAGACATGGCTTCTAACATAATCACAGCCCGATAACTCTAGTACGTAGAGATTTCATAATTTCAGGTGACTACACAGTACCACAGTAATAACAGAAATCACAGTTCATACGGTGCACGCCCACACGCTCGTCACCTTGCATGTGCGTCACCTTAAAACCAAACACATAACACGTATCTTCAGGGATCATACCCTCAGCTCCAAGATTAGAAGAGTTACTTACCTCGGACAAGCCAATTCCAACACCGAGCAAGCCAAGCGATGCTCCAAAAATTCCATCCCGCGCATTCCGACCTCCGAACGGCTCGAAACCGAGTCCACAAGATGAAAATTGCTTCAAGAATCGCCTCAATCCGAGCTCCATAGCTCCAAAAATGAAGAAAGAACCAAAACCCTCGATAATATAGCTTCTGCCAGCATTTTCGCACCTGCGGCACATTAGCCGCTTCTGCGGCATCCCTTCTGCGACATAACCTCCTCTTCTGCAGAATCGGCTGAGAACTCGACCCTCGCACCTGCGGATAAAATATTCGCTTCTACGACATCGCAGGTGCGAGCCACCATCCGCACCTGCGAAATACCTCGCTCCTGCACTCCATCATTTCGCACTTGCGCATCCGCATATGCACCCAAATCTCCGCTTCTGCGGTCTTACTCACCCAACACTCACCTCGCCTCTGCGACGCCTTTGTCGCTTCTGCGGCTATCGCACCTGCGCAAAACCAGCCGCAGGTGCGATCACACCAGAACCAGTAGCCTTCAGCAATGCACTATGCAACGAAAGTGATCAGAACCTCGTCTGAAACTCATCCGAGCCACTCGGGACCCCGTCCGAATATACCAACAAGTCCAATAATATAACACGGATCTACTCGAGGCCTCAAATCACGCATAACAATATCGAAAATGATGAATCGCACCTCAAATCAAACTTAATGAACTTTAAACTTTTTAACTTCCAAAACGCGTGGCGAAACATAGCAAATCAATTTGGAATGACTTCAAATTTTGCACACAAGTCCCAAATAATATAACGAAGCTATTCCAATTTCCGAAACCAAAATTCGGATCCGATATCAAAAAGTCCATTCCCGGTCAAACTTTTCAAAAATCCAATTTTTGCCATTTCAAGCCAAATTCAACTACGGACCTCCGAGTCATAGTCCGGACGCTCTCCTAAGTCCAAAATCATCCAACGGAGCTAACGGAACCATCAAAACTCCGTTCTGGGTTCAAATTCACAAAAGTCAAACTTGGTCAACTCTCACAATTTAAAGCTTCAACAATGAAATTCATTCTTTAAATTCTATTCCGAATAACCTGATAATCAAAACCGACGATTCACATAAGTCATAATGCATCATACGGAGCTACTAATGCCCGTAAACTACCGAGCGAAGTGCAAATGCTCAAAATGACCGGTTGGGTCGTTACACGTATTGCTTGTATTATCTTTTACACAAAAGAACTGAAAAATACCCTGGAGCAATGCTTGGATTTCCTAGAGGAACCAACTTCAAGAAAAAATATTTTCTCTCTGAATACATGTTGCATTTGTTATGAAGCAACAGAGTAAGTATTGTGAAGTGGGAACACACCTTGATTGAAGTTATAGAAAACAGTTCCTTATTAGCGTAATGTTGCGTCCAATTGAATTCTAGATGCTGCATTGTTCAGCAATTTAAGAAACTAAGGGAAAGTAGGTTAACGTAACAATAATAAGGGAATATAAAATACAAAGGAAATGAGGTAAAAATCTAATGGTCTCACAAGGATGCAATAATAGATTTGCTGAAAAAGATGCATATTAGAGTAAGGAAAAAATAAAGTTCAAGTGTAGCACTAATACAGAATGTTGATGCCTTTAACTGTCCCTTTGTGGAGTAATGAAGAGTTCACCATTAACAAATTCAAAGGGTAAAAAGATTTTGTAATCATTTTACATGTTCTCATCTCTAATTAAAGTAAATATACAATCTCCGTATTTGTTAATGACAAAAAAAGATTAATGTCGATATAAGAATACATGTACTAGTGATGCATATGGAAAGAGCTACCATATATACACAAGCTACTCTGAGGCTTAAAAAAACATAATAGTATCATGTGTAGGCACCAATCTTAAGATAAAAGGATAATGAATATCATTTAAGTGTTTAAAATGAAAATACACTGAATATTGCTTATAAAAGAAAAAATTAAGTTGACATCTAACTATTCTTCACCCAACTCCACCCACCCCACCCCCTAAAAAAGAATAAAAATTTTATATGACATAGGTGATATTAAGTTGTCAATCCAAAAGAGAAGCAAAAGATGTCTGGGCCATAGTTTTCGTGTTATATAAAATTATTACTATCTCAACCATATCCCAAGTCATACAGGATTACTAAAAAAGATATTTATCCGCAACGAGCTAATAGGACAAACGCACAAAAACTCTGAAGATATAAGGTCATTCAATTGAAGTGACATTAAGAGTCTAACCTCAATATTAGGCCCTCACCCCTGCACATAAGATTTAACAAATTACTAATCTGTTCAATCAAAAAGAAAAAGTTTAACAAATAAGTAAAAAGAAGGCTTCAACAATGCAAAGTAAATCACATAAACAAGGAATGAAAGGCTTTTCATTATAATGCTATAACAACAAAGTTCTGTTAAGCTGAGATTTGATAAACATACAACACCTTAGATGCATACCTATCCCTAGATAAATAATTACAATGAAAAGCAAACATAATATAGTCTAATAGACAAATTCTAAATCAAAAAGCATTTCAACTTCAGAAATTTAATCATCGAAGTGCTTGAAAAGGTTTATGAAGAAACATGTCAAGAGGTATGTAGTTGGGAACGCTCTACCAAGATAAACCTAATAAGTTAGAAAACTAAATGTTACCCTAAAAATCGGATAACAATTAAATTTATAAGTGGTTTTAAGGATATGCGATTTAATTTGATACTGAACGACAAATCAGATTGCAATTGAAATAAGTAATGAAAAAGTAAATGCTAACCACACAAGTTGAATAGTTTTAGCCTTGGAAGGTTTGTCACCCTCGAACCAAAATTGCTTTTATTGATATCAGAACAGAAACGATAAGAGAGTAACAAGAACTCGACGAGAATAATAATATATTACTTTGGGATGCGTGTTACAATGTTTTACAAGTAATCAGACCCCCTTTATATAGTAGGGGAATCCTACTTTAGGTACAATTATATAAAAGGTAAAAATCTCCTAGTTTGCTGATTTGATGGTTCTTTATTGATACGTGCCGAGATTTCTACCGAAATATCCGACCGGTTATGGATATTTTGGCCTTCCATTATTTCGGTATTCTGTTTGTTATACCGGTAATATTTCCTCGAGCTTATTCGGGATCAGGGTCGATTCCGGGATCATGGGCTCAATATTCTCGAGGACGGATATTCTGACCTCGTGTTCTGGTTCGATGAGACTCGTAGTCGATTTTCAACCCTTCGCGTTACGAGCCCGATCTATCGTGCAATAGTCGAGCCTGATTTTGACCGTATACAGATAGTCCCCTCGTATTTTAGAGAGTAAACGACGAGAAATGATATGAGCTACCGATTCTCACCTCGGTGCTCCGTGTCAGAAACGACAAAATGAACGAAATGTCTCGTCAATGGCATTTAATGCTCGTCAGTTGCTGGTCGGACACTCCTGGATTTGAACCGTCGTTTGGAAATATAAATACCACCTTCTTCATTTATTCAAACTTTACATCCAAATCTTCTCTACTCCTATTTCTTAGAAATTCCAACACTTCCCAAGATTAAATTTCTGGCTATTCTGAAATCCTTTTACAAGAACTTCAGCTGTGTTTTTATCCTCAACCATCAAGCTTAATCTTTAAACTCTCTCTCTTTTCTTCATCTATCAAAGAAATGGCGAAGACTTCAAAATCCGTTCCACAAAAAGATTCTCCCTCTACCTCGCGACCGACTGTAGAGGAAAACGTTTTGTCTGCTACTACCGAAGAACCGGCACAGAAACTCCTCTGAAAATGTTTATCCCCGGGGAGTGCCTGACCGGTACTGATTTCAAGAACGAGAAGCCATCCTTAGTATCGGGTCGGTGTGAGTCGGTCTCGAGATATATTTGCTCGATCACCGAGGATGTCCTTTCCGAGGTCAAGAAAGATTGCAACTGGGCTAATAAGCACGTAGTGGTCCCCAAGCCCGAGGAAGCCATTACTACTCACGTAGAGAGATTTTTAAGTGTTTACACTTATCCCTTCTCGTTGGGCCCCTTGGACCCGGTCATTATTGCCTTCTGTAAGAGGTACGAGGTGACCCTTGGTCAAATTCCCCCTTCTTTTTGAAGGATAGTAATTCTCCTCCATTTTTTCGTAAGCAAGATCGAGGGGTATCCCTTCACCCTCGACCATCTCATGAGCTTATATAGTCCCCGACTTTATCGAGGGGAAATAATCAAACTTGCTCGTCGGGCCAGTAAGGCCCCATTCCCGAGCATTGACGAAGATCATGATCGAGGCTGGTTAGGTCGCTTTGTTCAAGTAAAGACCTCGGATTTGATCCCAACCGAGCATATGCCATTTCCTGAGAAGTGGAACATTACACGTAAGTATAATCTTGCTTTCAAGATTTTGTTCATCGTTTTTCCTTTTCCTCCCTTCTCATCATTGTTTTGTAGTGGTGCAGCTGTTGCTCGGTTGCCAGATGCAGTTCCTCAACTCAAGGAGTGGGTCGAGGGCATTGTGTCGTAGAAACCGTATTTTAAAAGCGCATGGCACGAGATTTCGAAGGGCCGGTAAGAGGCACGTTCTCATGGTGAGATTCCTTTCTTGAGTGGACAACACTTAGGTTTCCTTCGTGCTGTTGCGCCCTTACTCATTTCATTTTTCTTTGCAGGTCTTTCCAAGGATGTCGCAATGAGGCCTCCATCCGGTGATGATGATATCCTCACCAAACCATCTTCTCCGAGGCAGGATAAAGAGAAGAAAAGAAAAAGGGCTCCGAGTTCTCCTAGCTCCGAGAAAAAGAAGCCAAGGAAAAGATTGGCGCGTAAACCAAAGAAAAGCACCAGTGCTCGAGTACTGTCTCCGGACTCACTCTATGGATTGAAGGATGAGTTCGAAGGGGAAGGATAAGCCTTCGATCTGGTGGCCAGCGAGCTGCCACAGCTTGAAAGGTAGGGGTCCTCCGAACCAGAGGGAGGCGGGGCCGAACTTCATCTAGTTAGGGAGGCCGGGGAGGAGGCAGGAATTGAAGCTTCCGGGGATACGGGAAAAGCCCTGCAGGAAGCACTTGGCCCGATAGATATTGCTGAGTCACCCTCATTCACAGAGTTGATGTTCAACGAGGCCCAAGGTGCACAAGAACGCCCCATCGAGGGGGCCCATAGATCGAACGACCCCTTCCGCATTTTTTTCGATGGCATGGATTCGGCGGCCACAGAGGACACCATCGGATTTGGCAATTTAGAGATACCGAGGAAGAGCTTACCCTCTGAAGCAAGCGGGCCTTCCTCGAGCCCGAAATTGGTCGATCAATTCCCTGCCCTAAGTGCTAATCCCGATCGGAAGAAATCCATTGTTATCTCTTTTCCAGAGGATGCCCGAGTCCTCTCCGCCCCCGTAGGGGTAACCAGTTATCTTTGGCATTTGGTGACCGAGGATGATCAAGCCAAGATGAACAAGGTAGATGCACCCTGCCTTTTTAATGAAGCATAATAGGCGCTGAACCGGGTAACTTCATGCTTTACTAAGTGATTTTTTGATTTATACTTATAGATTATTTCGTAGATAACTTGGTGTTTCTTTTCGTGCTCGTAGGCCTCGGTGCTTCATCATGAGACCTTTTTAAGGTACCGGGATGAGCTGAAGCAACTCAAAGCTAAAGTTCGTGAGCTCACTGAGAAGAGAGACGCCTTTAAACTTCTTAGCGAGGAGATCGAATGGGAGGTTAAGAATCTCCGTGCCAAGCTGGAAGTTGCTTGGAAGGAACATGCTGATTGGTCGAGCAGGTAAAAGTTTTTGAGGTTAGTGACGATGGATTTGATTCGGTGACTGATGGTCAAAATCTGTAGGTCCAGCAAAAACCCGATCGGATTGACAAGCTTCGAGCTGAAATGGATATAGTCAAAGCTGAGACTGATGAATGGAGAGGCCGAATGGATCGTCTGGCCTCGGAAAAAGAGGTTGTTCAGGCACAACTAACTTCGATTGAAAGCCAGCTTAGAGCAGCAAAGGAGAGGGCTGAGGTTCAGATAAAAAAGGTTGAGGAGCTCCAATCCCGGTTAGGTTCAGCTGTCTCAGATCGAGAAAGTCTGGCCAAGGAGCTTAGAACGGCCAAGTCAGAGGTCATCGTGGTCAAAGCCGAAGCTGATGAAATGGTGGCCCAGTACAAGGCCCATGCCGAGGCGGCTCAAGACCTTGTAAAAACTATAGTTGAGCATATGAAGTGGCAATCCCGAAGGGAGGCCCTCGAGGAAGTTCACTCTCGGGGTTTTGATTTATCGGCTGAGATTAAGAATGCGAAGGTGCTCGAAGCCGAGGCCAGGAAGCTGGCCTATGCTGAGGAGGAAGATTCCGAGGAGTCTGAAGATTTGGGTAAATCCGAGGGTGGCGGAGGACCCGAAGGTGATGATGCGGCCCCTGACGAAGACTAGGCCACTTAAGACCCTTTTAGATGTTTTGTTTTTTGCTTTTTGTATCACCCTTTTGTTGAGGTTGTTCGGCGTTTGTAACAATTTGCATCGGGGCTGTTTGGCCCTTGTAAAAAGAATTTTTGATATGTATATAAGGCTTTTTCTCTTCAACAGCTTTTGAATTTTCCCTTTGCTTTATTATTTACATTCGCAAAGATCGAAATGCCTTAGCATGAAGTAGTTAGGTTATCTTCGAAGGTTCGAACAAACCTTGCCTTTAACATTATTTCGTTTTAAGGCATCGAGGGAATTCAAAACTTTTTCCCAAAGTAGTTTAGATTATAATTTGCCGAGGGTAGCCTTTAGAACCGGTTATGAATTTTTTTGAAGGCCTTATTTTTGTTACGGGTCTCGGACGTCTCCGAGCCATTTCAGTATGGCTGTAGCCTTTTTAATTCAGGTGTTGACCAGTGGGATTTACTCCGAGTTATCCAGGATTTGTCTAAGATAATAGTCCCCGAATGGGGTGGCCGTAGCCTTTAAGGTTCTGGCGTTGCCTAATAGGTCTTGTTCTTCTTGGCTCCGGTAGCCCGAGCCGTCCGAGTTTGATTTTGGTCTGTAGTCCCCGATTGGGGTGATCGTTCGAACTCGGGTAAAGGCAGCCCTTGGGCTCGGTACTTTAGGGGATCGAATGTACGAAATTCCTTAAAAGAAAAAAGAGAAATTCTTAAAGGACAAGATATTTATCCGCAAGGTATAAACTTCTTTTATTCTTGTGCGTGATAGTTACACATGTGTACAGGTTTCATGCCAGGGCTCGAGTAGTCTATGTGGGCACAGCTCATGTGACCGTTTGGCCCTTATAGTAAATCCTACCAATTGAGTCGAGATCATTGAATCGTAAAGTTTCCTTCCTTCCTAAAGTTGTTATCCGAGGGTGATGTGGCCCCGAACACTGTTGTCATGACCTTAAATACCGGTTCGTAACCGGCCTTCAATTCTAAGTTAGCACGATTTACCATTGCCTCATTAAAAACCTTGCCGAAAAACCCATTTGGGACAAAACCGGTTCAAGGGAAAAAGAGTGCAACGTGCGCTTTCAGACCTAAAAATCATATCGTTTCTCGATGATTCCCTGCAAATGTTAGTTCGGAATGTAAATAAATAAAAGGGAATGAATGGGACCGTACCTTAGCAATATTATCACTTCAAGTGAGCTATGTTCCAGTTGTTCGGTAGTTGCTCACCGTTCATCATTCTGAGTTTGTACGATCCTTTACCGGTGATCTCGATAATTTGGTAAGGGCCTTCCCAGTTCGGCCCCAACTTCCCTTCATTCGAGTTTTGGGTGTTTAGTGTAACCTTCCTTAGTACCAGGTCCCCGACACTAAAGTGTCGAAGGTTGGTCCTTCGATTATAATAGCTCTCGATCCGCTGCTTTTAGGTGGCCAACCGGACAAGGGCTGCTTCGCGCCTTTCATCCAATAAATCGAGGCTCGTGTTCATAGCTTCGCCGTTTGATTCCTTAGTTGCATATTGAAACCTGAGACTTGGCTCTTCGACTTCGACCGGTATCAGAGCTTCGGCGCCGTAGACTAGTGAGAACGGGTTGGCCCCGGTACTGTACTTTGAAGTAGTTCGGTATGCCCATAAGACTTCGGGCAGGATTTCCTTCCACCTTCCTTTGGCGTCGGTTAACCTCTTTCTGAGGTTTTGGAGTATGGTTTTGTTGGTCGATTCTGCTTACTCGTTCCCACTGGGTGGTAGGGTGTTGATAAGATCCTTTTGATCTTATGATGTTCGAGAAACTTGCTTACCTTGCTGTCGATGAATTGTTTCCCATTGTCGCACACGATCTCGGCCGGCATTCCGAATCGACATATGATATGATCCCAAATGAAGTCAATGAATTCTTTCTCCCTCACCTTTTCGTATGCCTGAGCTTCCACCCACTTAGAAAAACAGTCAGTCATAAACAATCTGAATTGATTCTTACTGGGTGCCCATGGAAGGGGGCCGGCAATATCCATTCCCCACTTCATGAACGGCCATGCTGACAAGACCGAATGCAACAGTTACCCGGGCTGATGAATCATCGGAGCATGTCTTTGACATTCATCACATTTTCGTACGAACTCTTTTGCGTCCTTTTCTATATCGACCCAGTAATAACCGACTCTGATAACTTTTCGAACCAGTGATTCGGCGCCTGAATGATTTCCACAGGTGCCTTCGTGGATTTCTCTCAAAACATTTTCGGTGTCCCCTGGTCCTAGACATATCGTGAGTGGGCCATCGAACGCCCTTCTGAACAAGGTTCCGTCTTCGGATAGGCTAAACCGGGCTACCTTTGTACGTAGGGCCCTTGATTCCTTCTGATCCGACGATAATTTTTCGGTTTTCATATATTCTATATATTTGTTTCTCCATTCCCAAGTTGGGCTCGTTGAGTTAATCTCGGCCTGGCCTTCCTCCACTACCAATCCCATAAGTTGTACGGCTAACCCCGAGTTGAATTCATCATCCTCGACCGATGACCCTAGCTTACCAAGGGCATCGGCCTTACTGTTTTGACCCCGAGGTATGTGTTGCAAAGTCCATTCTTTGAATCGATGTAATGTTACATATAATTTATCCAGGTGCCTTTGCATTTGTTCTTCTCTTACCTCGAACGTCCCATTAACTTGGTTTACCACAAGGAGGGAGTTGCACTTAGCTTCAATTATCTGTGCCCCCAAGCTTTTGGCTAGTTTGAGACCTGCAATCGTGGCCTCATATTCGGCCTCATTGTTAGTCAATTTCATAGTCTTAATAGATTGCCTAACTACATTGCCAGTTGGTGGATTCAATACGATGCCAAATTTGGACCCTTTTGCATTCGAGGCACCATCCGTAAAGAGGGTCTAGATTCCCGAGGAGGTCCCTATGTTGATTAATAACTCTCTTTCGACCTCAGCTATTAGGACCGGCGTAAAGTCGGCTACAAAGTCCGCCAAAATTTGAGACTTAATGGCGGTCCGGGGTCGTTATTCAATATTGTACCCACTGATTTCCATGGCCCATTTGGCCAACCGGCCTGAGAGCTCGGGATTATGCATAACGTTTCTCAACGGGTAAGTAGTTACGACACATATGGGGTGACACTGGAAGTATGGTTTCAGTTTCCTATAGGCATTTAGCAAAGCGAGCACCAGTTTTTCTAGGTGAGGATACCTAGTTTTGGCCTCACCTAGGGTCCTGCTAACATAGTAAATTGGAAATTGCGTACCTTCCTCTTCCCGGACCAGGACTCCACTTACCGCTATCTCTGAAACTGCCAAGTATAAGTATAGTTTTTCGTCTGTCTTCGGCGTGTGAAGCAGTGGTGGGCTCGATAAGTACCGTTGAGTTCCTCCAAAGCTCGTTGGCATTCCGGTGTCCATGAGAAGTTATTCTTCTTCTTCAATAGTGCGAAGAATTGGTGGCTCTTGTCGGATGACCTCAAAATGAATCGCCCCAGGGCGGCTATGCACCCGGTTAATCTTTGCACGACCTTCACGTTGTCCACAACCGTAATGTCTTTGATGGCTTTGATTTTGTTGGGGTTGATCTCGATTCCTCGGTTGGATACCATGAACCCGTGGAATTTACCTGATCCAACTCCAAATGCGCATTTCTCCGGGTTCAGTTTCATATTGTATTTCTTTAATATGCTGAAGGTTTCCTGCAAATTTTTTAAATGGTTCTCTGCTCGCAGGGACTTAACCAACATGTCGTCAATGTAAACCTCTATTGATTTTCTTATTTGTTCCTCAAACATCCTATTTACTAGGGGTTGGTAAGTGGCACAGGCATTTTTTAAACCGAATGGCATCACGTTGTAGCAGTATGTGCCTTATTTAGTGATGAATGAGGTTTTTTCCTGATCACCCGGGTTCATCCGTATTTGGTTGTACCCGGAGTAGGTATGGAGAAAACTGAGGATCTCGTGGCCGGCCACGTGCATCGATCATTCGATCGATGTTGGGCAAAGGGAAAGAATCCTTGGGACATGCCTTATTCAAATCCTTGTAGTCTATAACAATTCTTACTTTGTTCCCTTTTTAGGGACTACAACTACATTTGCTAACCAATCCGAGTATTTCACCTCACGAATGGACCCTATTTTAAGGAGTTTAGATACCTCGTCCTTGATAAAAGTGTCACGACCCCCAAACCGATGGGTCGCGATGGGCACCCGGTACCTTACTCAACCGAGTACCAACATAACGTATCTTTCGTATCATTCTATCATAGGTAAATGAACCGGAGTAAAGCATGAGGGAATGCAAACTTACAAATATGATATACTGGCCTATAAGACCAAAATTATGCTGAACATAGGCCGACAAGGCCGTACAATATTTCACGTACACGACATATATCTACAAGCCTCTAAGAGTATATAAATGTCATAAAGGTCGGGACAGGGCCCCGCCATACTAATCAATACATGTCCTAATCATACTGACCACATAAGCAACTTTGGAGCATATGGAGTGCACCAACATCTTCCGCTGAGCTGATAGCCTACTTGGAGGGCTCTCAACCTGTCTATCAGGACATGCGGGCATGAAACGCAGCATCCCCAGGCAAAAGAGACGACAGTACAAGTAATGTACCGAGTATGAAAGGAAATGAAAATCGGTAAATAATAGGCATGAGAGAAATATGGAGTAAAAGACTCGACATGTACGTTTGCATATCTCTGTGAATCATTTAATATTATAATGTCATGCATATGCATATAAATGTCATACCATGCATTGGTATATGCGTTCATAACATCATCAAGCCTCTGAGGGCTTCCCATCATATCATCTTGGCCACTATGGGCAAAATGATCAACGTATACCAGCTGATCAGGTGGTGGTACGTATATAACGCCGTAACCTTTTTACCATATCCCATATAAATATAATATACATATATACGCTTATATAACTTCATCTGGTCATGGGTCAATGCACATGTATAAATGCATGAAATGCATAAGAAATACG